ATGTTCATATCTGTCTACCGTAATCTGTTAATTCTATCTGTCTGTCTATCTATCTATCTATCTTTTGCGCGCTTTCTCTCCTCTCTCACTTTTATACCTTTCATATATTTCTCTCTTTGCTTCCCAACATCTATCTATCTATCTATCTATCTATCTATCTATCTATCTATCTATCTATCTATCACCCCTCTCTTTATTAACTCTGTCATTCTTCTGTTTTTCTGTTCTGCTCCCTCTGATTTTTCCCTCCTTCGCGCTCATTCTTCCTCTCACCCTATCGGTCACTTATTCTTTCTAAAAGCTCTCTACTTTTTGTCTTTAAATACTTTCTTTTCTTATCTTCCTTTTCTTCCTTTTTTTTGCCATCTGCTCTGTCGTTCATTCTTTCTTCATTTCTTTTATTTCTTGTGCCGCTGTCATTAATTTTGGTTTGTTCACAGATAAAGAGAAAACTTGAGGTAATAAAAATGTGGCCCTACAGAAGGATACTGAGAATTTCATAGACGGGGAGAGTAATCAACGATGGAATCTTAAAGATAAATGGCGACATAAAGAACCCTTAAGCTCAGAATCAGGAAGAGACAGCGGAAATGACTTGGACTCGTAATAAAGAAGGCGGGCTTTGAAAACTTAACCCTCACGGGTCATATCGAGGGCAAGAAAGATAGGGGAGGGCAGCAGGCCACCTACCTGACGAAATTGTGTGAGTGGATCGCGGAACCTAGAGAGGGAGGGAGGCTGTGCAAATGCAGAAACGCTGCTAAAGATCACAGTTTGAACCTCCCATGGACGCTCTTCATTTGTAGCCTTGTACCAGACTTAATATAGAAAAACGCCGGTGCTTTTTCCTTAGCATCCTCTTTTTATTCGAGTTTTTCTTTTATCTAATGGTGTCTCCATCTTTCTTTCTTTCTTTTCTTTCTCTCCTATTTTTTCTTTCTTTTATTCTATCGTTTTTCTTTTCTTTTATTCTATCGTTCTGTCTCTCTCTTTCTCTCTCTCTCTCTCTCTCTCTCAATGTATCTATCTTTCTATTTTCTCGTTCTTTCCTCTTTGTTTCATCTTCAACCATACGTTTTTTTATTCTTTATCATTCTTTCTTTGTTTCTTTGCATTCATTCTCAGTCTCTATCATTTCTCTTTTCTTAAACTGTTTTCTCCAACACACACACACACACGCACACGCGCACGCGCGCACACACACACACACATATATATGTCTGTGTGTGTGTGTAAAGAAAGATATATCGCGTGTAACAGCAAAATTGTCCAATTGTTACAGCTTTGAACCATTGTATCTTAGAAATGATTAAAGATATGTTACTGGAATTCTCTGTGGCTTTTATAACACTATTGAACTCTACTTTGAGCAATAAGAATCTATAATTACTCTTCAAACTTAGCAGAAGATTCGTGATGAAATCGATCATAAACGAATATGACATGTTCATCATTAAGTAATCATAGCTACGCATCGGATGCTCATAAATGATTGATATAAAGTTCAAATATATATATATATATATATATATATATTATTCCAGGATCTTTTTCCAACTTATTGAAGATGATCTTCACCTTCTCTAACTTTCTAACTTTCTGTCCTGGAGTAACAAGGTATTTCACACGTTTCACGTACGGTTTCATTTGCAACTCCTTTTTCACTGCACTTTGGACTGTCATAGCTGAAAATTCTCTCTCACGTGCCAAACGTCTGATGGAATGAGTTGGATTTTTCTGATTGATCTCTTTAGCTCTAAGTTGAAATGTTAACCCCTCTTTCAGCTGTGACTTCCTGATCCAGTTTCTCTCTCTACTGTTTCCTCTTTTTAAAACTTATTCACCGTTCTCTTGATGGTTCTTGAATGGACTTTGAAGATGAAAGCCAGAATATGAATGTTGAAACCATTACTGAAGGCCTGACTGAATTTTTCCTCTCACCATTGCTCAGTTGAGAAGACATTTGGTCCGATACAAAACGATTTTAATTTGCTCTCTTTTTAGCTGAATAACTCAAAAGGTTTTTCACTGATTCTTACGACAAATGATGTCAAGATGGCCTAATGTCTTATCTGAAAACCTGGAAAAAAGAAACTCAATTACATTAGTGGTTTTTTAGATATTAAACATTTTGGAGGATGGACAATTATGCTGTTACACGATTCGGGACAATTTTGCTGTTACACCCGGTATATGCGTGTGTGTGTGTGTGTGTTCGCGCGCGTTGGTTGTTTTTTTTTTTTTTTTTGCTCTTGCAAACTCTCTGCTTTCTCTCTTGATAATCTGTTTCTTGTTTTTCTTAGAGTTGTTCTTTTTTGTTGTTGTTTTTCCAACTAAATATTGCATCAACCATGTCTGGACTCTCACAGCCACAGATATATTCAGATGTTCTACACAGACATATACACATATATGTATCTGTGTGTGTGTGTGTGTGTGTGTGAGAGAGAGAGAGAAAGAGAGAAATATATATATATATATATATATATATATATATATATATATATATATATATATATATATAGGAGAGCATTCACGAGTTCTTTCTTTTTTCCTTTTTTTCTTCTTACGTTTTTCACCAGCGTGCGTGTTTACTTACGAGTAAAGGTGACTGTCTGGCGCAAGGAGGAGGTGGGCCTCACTGACATGGGACTGCAATTCGCCAACTTAATGACAAAGTAAGTTGGGAAAAGGTAAGTCACATGATCCATTCTGGTCATAAATTTATTTCTCGCTACCTTGCTACCAGCAACGAGAAGAACGCGAGAACGGATCGATTTGACTTGGAATCTTGTGTAGAATGCACCCAGCAACGAGAGGATGGCAACACAGTAGGCTGATCGTAAAATCAGAATGGTAAAGTCAACGAATATAAGTGGTAGGTATGTAACAGGGGGGGTGGAACTCAACACAGAAAACTCAAAAACGTTAACGGTAAAAAGATATATGTTTTTAAAACCGCGTTAAATATCTGAAGGATTAATTAATACTTTTGCTGCTGTAGACGTACTTATACGTCGTCCCGAAATTTACATTGTTTCTTGTGGACATTTTTTTTTCTTTGTACAGTAAGGTTCACCATGTAAAAAAACCCGGTGCCAATCGAGGTAGATGGTTACGTTAAGGGGTATTTATATGGATAGAAGAAGATAACGGTTAACTCTAGACTTGAACAGGTTAAGATTGTAGTGATCAAGGAAACATCCTCTTGGGAGTCTTTGCCACAGGACATTGGTTCGTGGGGAGATGCTGTTTGAGTGGAACTTCTCAGAGAGAATGTAGGGTGGTTTTCTACTTTGTAATTGGCATGGCGGGTACTAGTTATGAAGGAATATAGTTCGCCACACCCCGCCTGTCAGAGAGAGGTTGGAGGGTACAAAATAATTCTTCTCCAACAAAGACTCGGAGACGCTTTTCAACTGTCTCAAGACTGAAAAGTGAGGACTGTGCAGCTCCCTCCTAAATATGGCAGCAGTACTCCATTTTAGGCCTAATCTGGCTCTTATAAAGTTAGAGGATAGCATGAGGAGTCAGGTAATTCCTGGAGCGGTACAGAGAGCCGATCATTTTACCATCATCTTTAGTGAGGAATCGTATATAGGAGTTCCACCTGAGGTCGGGTGTGAATTTGAGGCCCAAAATTCTCTCAAGGCACCTTCTGGAGGGGACATCATATATATACATGTTGAAGATATCGTGTAAATATGGGTCCCTAGCACTAATAATATGAACTAATACTTAGTACTACTTTTTTAAAAAAATCATTTCATCCCAATGAAGGCGATAATACCACTAAGACGCAAGGGGTTACTGAAAAAATAAGAAGACTTTAGCGAGGAGAAAGGACAATAAAAAGACAGGTTTCAAGAAGACAGAAGATAATGATTGACATTGAATTCAACTTTTTGAAGGTTGCAGGTGTCAGGGTAGCAAGAAATCGAAGCTAAGTTACACAAATGAGAAGTGCGAGAAAGAAAACTATTAGACTAGAACTTAGGATTACATCTAGCTAGTTCAAAAGTAAAATGGTCAGACCTAAATTCTTGTCTAGTAATGAGCTTAAAAACACTCGGTCGAAACGTTAAGGAGAAGAGCTCATTAGAACAACTGCCAAGAAAATATGTAAAAGATATTTTAAACAAGCGTAGACAACATATAATACGACATGTTTCGTGACATATTTTTTATTATATTGTGTATTGGGAGTGTCGTCTAGCTTAATCTATACTGCAGAGAATACTATTAAAAACAAAATGGCGACGCCCATGAGAAATTGTCGTCAACGTCTCATATTCACATATATATATATATATATGTGTGTGTGTGTGTGCAGATTAAATTGCCAAGTCGCTTCGCCGTGAAGTAAACCAATTTCGCAAATAATTATCTTTCTAGTGAATTTGATCGTCAAAGCCTTACACCTGTATTCTTTATGACAGACAGTACTTTGCTTTGATAAGTCTGAAGTTATGCGCCTCTATATTGGCAGTTCTAGTTAGTAAGCTAAACGATAACTATTGTTGGCGCTCCTAAATTTAATTCGTTGCATCCTCCGAGTCTTAAAGTAGGAAATCCTTTAGTAGATTTTATAGGATGGTGCTGCATGATCACAAACAAAGATCTTTACCACATAACAAAAAGCAGATCACTTTAAAACTTCCAACAGTAGCAATAATTAATATGGATAGAAATGTAACCAGAAGGGAAAATAATGATATAATATGATTTCCACACAACCTTAAACTAAAGTTTAGGAAGGAAACCCCCATCAATAATAAAAAGAACAATAACAATTGAGTAGTTTGTTTAACCAAAAAACTGATTTTATAAATTCCCCGATGACTATAATCAAATATTCAAGGGTAATTTCAATCGACATCTGACACTCTGAGCTTGTTACCCGTCACTTTTCTGTATCCTTTCCTTAACCACGCCTCTTTACTCTTGTTCTCAATCCTCTGTAACCTCTTGCGTGGGAATATTTCTTTTATGTGTCGTGTCCCTCCAGGACGTAGGCGATCATTGCCCTCCACGTCTTCCTGTCCCTTGTAGCTCTTAATAAGTTTTGTCTTTTTGTTATCTCTCCCAAACCCTTTCTGCCACGCATTTGGTCAAGTCAAATATATCACCCACTGCTTTTCTCTGTCTCTCTTTCCCTCAATATGTCCTGTGAGTATCAGATTTTCCAAGTCTTCCTTCCTCATTACGTGCCCCAGAAATTTCAACTGCCTCTTCTTAATGTTAATTATAAGTTTCCTTTTTGTTTCCATTCTCTTCATAACCTTGTCGTTGCTCACATGTTCGGCCCATGGTATCCTCAGCATCCTTCTGTAGAACCACATCTCTGCTGCTTCAAGTCTCTCCTTCTTTGAGGAGATTGCCCAGCATTCGCTACCATACCGAAGGACAGATATCACGTAACAGTTCAGTACTCTTTTCTTTTCTTTTTTTTTGTTTCAGCGAAATTTTCCTGTCTCTTAATACTCTGCTTAGCTTTTGGAATGCATCTTTGGTTATCCCAATACGACATCGGATCTCAGTGTCACACTTTCCGTCTTCTGTAAAAATACTTCCCAGATATTTAAATTTCTGTATCTACTTGATTTTAGTATACCCGACCAGTAATTTGCATTCTGTCTTCTTGCAGTTTATGCTTAGTCCTTTCTTCTCGCTTTCCTTCGCTACATTCTGTAGAAGGTTTTTTTAGTTTCCTTTCCGTGTCTGCTATCATCACTATGTAATCTGCACCACACTGCTGACAATTTAAAATGGAGAACGAATTGGAGAAATCCGAAATCACGAGAATATTTTTGCTGCTCTCGATGAAGTTTATCGCGGAAGATTCAATTACATCAAAATGGGTTTCATTACTTTGAGAGTATCATAGCACAAATCGAAATGTTCAAACAATTTAGTGTGAAAATATATTTGGACCAATCAATCATCCCTACACCTGCCGTTCATTTAAATCCACTTTAACCTTATAAAATGAGTGGATTAATTGATTAGGTTTGGTTTGGTTTGGTTTGTTTTACGACATATCAACCTCAGTGGGTTATTTAATGCCGAAAAGATTTTTATTGCTGGTAAATTTTTTTTTTTTTTTTGCAATATTTTGAATTAGGAGGTACTTTTGTCCAACACCATGAGATGTTACAGAATCAAAATCTTGACCTAAAAACTTCAGTCGTGATCTTAGAAGAAAATCAATTCCAAATTTACAAATGTCCGATTTAGAGTCTTATATGAATGTCCTTCATTGCGGACAACTTGTTCAGAAACATCTAAACTGGCATCGGTATACAAATTTTCACAAATCACTGGTTTAAAATGGCTCCAAACAAGTTAATCCTATAAAATGGCTCTAAACGAGTCAATCCTATAAAATGGCTCCAAACAAGTTAATCCTATAAAATGGCTCTAAAAAAGTCAATCCTATAAAATGGCTCCAAACAAGTCAATCCTATAAAATGGCTTCAAACAAGTTAATCGTATAAAATGGCTCTAAAAAAGTCAATCCTATAAAATGGCTCCAAACAAGTCAATCCTATAAAGTTTAAAGATTATCCTTCATCAGAGCATAAAGACTGGCGCTACAAAAATCGCAAACGAAGTTCTACGAAGAATAACGAAAACCACATCATTTGAAGACTTCCAACATCTGAAACAAGTAAAATGGGTAACACATGTAACGAGAACAGAAAATAATGATATAATCAATCAATTAATCTCCGTCCTGAGTAAGACGATAAACTACATCCAACAGCAAGTCTTCTGATCAAGAGGTTTTGAGGAGTGTGGAACCACCTCTTAATTGTTAGTGTTCCCAGGAAAACTTTTCAAAATACTAAAAAAAAGCTGGGAAAGAAACTCGCATCAATATTAGAAAGAGCTATAACATTTATTGGACATGGCAAGTTTTCCTGTTTGTTTTGTTTTACGGCATATCAACCTCATTGGGTGATTTAATGCCGACAAGGTTTTTATTGCTGCTAATATTTTTTTCAAAATATGTATTGCTCGTAATATTTTTTTCAAAAAATTCATTGCTGGTAATACCTTTTTTACAAGAATGTATTGCTGATATTAAAACCTATTTTTACGCTTTCATAGTGTTTTGACTCCAGTTTGGGGGTTAACTATTTGCCAATAGCTGGGACCCCAACAAATGCTACCTCCCCGGGTCAAGGTGGACCTGGGAACACCAACAATTAAGAGGTGGTTCCACACTCCTCAAAACCTCCTGATCAGAGGCGTTGTTGTTGGATATAGTTTATCGTCCTACCCAGGATGGGTATTAATTGATATACAACATTTAGATCTAAGAATAAGTTACAGACATTAATGACATAAAGATGTTATTTATTTATTTATTTATTTATTTATTTATTTTTACTTTTTACTTCACTCCAATATTCTACGTGACTCAAGTGGCGATGACTACTCTAGTTGCCTTTCTCAGTTCTTTTCATCAACTGAAAACTTCACCGCGTTGTACCGACCTCTCAGTGAATTCGCACCAACTCGTCTGCACTAACCTGACCTAATCGTGACTGAACTTACAGTAACCACGATTTATCGGCCTTTTACGACATCTTCAAAGTTTAAGAGACCTTTTCATTCATGAATGTTTTCATCTTTTTCACCGACTATAATTTATTGATTTTTTTTTTCTTTTACTTTAACAAAGTCGACCTGAGAACTTTCACATTGATGGAAACTCTTAACTTTAACACAAACTGAAAAACTAACTACAAATTGGTGACCCGGATAAATCATTAACTACAGTCTATCAACACCGCTTGCTTTTATGTTCAGTAACACACGTCACTTGTATTCCTGCTACTGTAATTAATTTACGTACACCGAAGTGCGTCCATTATTTTTTAATCTCTCCATCTCTCTCCCCTCTCTTTCACCCTATCTCTTCCTCCCCCCCATCTCTTTCTCCCCCTCTCTTCCTCCCCCTCTCTTCCTCCCCCCTCTCTTCCTCCCCCTCTCTTCCCCCCTCCTCTCTCTCTTCCCCTCTCTCTCCTTCGCTCTCTCTCCCCTCGCTCTTCGCCTCTCTTTTCCCCTTTCCCTCTTTCCCCTCTCTCTGCTATCTCTCTCCTCTCCTTATATCTCTCTCTTCGTCTCTTTCTCCTCTTTTCTTCCCCCTCTCTCTCGCCTTTTCCTCCCCCCCTCTTCCCCTCTCTCCTCCTATCTCCTTCTCTTTCTCTCTTTCTGATGGTGGGTCAAAGAAGGCAATATATTTCTTGAATAAGGGTAGCCATTTGATAAATATATATTTTTAAAAATACATTAGGATTTGAAGTCTACCCAGAGATTTAACAGATTGTTGATGGAATTGTTGGTTTGCTGATGTTTCGAGGTTTTAGCGATTCAAACTTGGAAAGTTTCTTTCACAGAACGTTACTAACTTTTGACTCTCACTTCCTTGATTTCAGTTTCTGACGGCCGTAGACTGACGGTCTAAAGAGTTGCAATAGAAAACAACGAAAAAGAAGAAAGGAATATTGGTCAAAATCTAATAACGCTTGACAATGTTTAATCTAATAAATAAAAAAAATATTAATAACATTGTTACTAATATTACTACTCGTATAGGGCAGTAGAGTAGGGCACGTGGTCGAGTGGTTAGAATTCTTCCCGACTATGAGACCCGGGTTCCAGTTCCACCATGGTCGATTTATCAGGATAAATTATGGAATAAATTTACGGGGATAAATTGTTCTCGTTCCGCTGCCCACGTCTGGGGTTATCTCGTCTAGTTCTTATTTAGTACTATTCAGCTGTTGCTCGCCCTGTTTACACTGACTCCAAGTATACACTGCCCATCTCAGTTCAATTAACCATTACTATGTCACCAAATTCACGAACCAACGCTTTAGCCCGCCAGGCTATTGTCCCGTAGGACAATTCTGAGTGGCAAACATGGAGCCTTAAACCTAACTTGAATGCCTACTGATGAGTGGTACTACCGCTACGTGTCACAATTAACTGCATTCATCAAGCTCCTATTCTTTTTACTGCAGCTGTTGCTGTTGATGAAGCCATGCTCTTACTTTATTTATTTACTTATTAACGGTTCCCATATCCTATTTCTTTTTACGCTAGGCCTACTAAAGAGATCCTCATGCCCTAATAAATGCGCTCATTCTCTCAGACGTCTGACATGGGAAGTGGAACGAGAACAATTTACTATCGTAGATTAAATAAAGTGTCTAGTTAAAAGTCCATTTAGGTTACCATGATTGACAAGCACCAGATGAGTGCTGATGGGGGGTGTACAACGATCGAAACGCTGTGATAAGAACAAAAAAGATGAGGACACGTGTAAATAATGTAAATAATGAAAACTCATCATTTCAGAAGTTCAAACAGAGACTAGTTAGATGTAGCAATGCTGAGTGACAACAGATAGAAAACACTCTCACTTTGAGACATCAAGAAGGAGGTAGCTTGATGCTTTGGGGCGGCATTACAGATTTTGAACTTCTTCGCCAGTGAAGAGTTCCAGTTTAGATGTTATTAACCTTACAGCTTAGGCATACATTGAGTTTTGAAAGCACACGTGGTGTCATGGTTCAAGAAGATACAAAAAGCTTTCAGTAAGATTTTTATACACACTAGAAATAGAAGATAACCTTTTACTCACTCTGCATAAACCTGTGTACGTACTGATATTTACTATGAAAGAAACATTGTTTTGTGTCGATATTCCTGTCGCCCTGCCTTGAAAAGTCATGATAAAAAATATTGGCTTATACTCGGGCTCGAACAGTAACCACTGCCTCGGGTGAAAAATATACAACTACAGGGAGTTTATAAAGTTCGTGTACAATTTTAAATACTTACTATACATGATAGAATTAATTTGTCAAAAGGATAAGAAAAATATTTTTTATCATTATGTTATTCTACAGGCCTTATATTTTCTTCACTTGCTCTTCGTCTGACAGACCGTAGATTATCACTTGCAGAACCTGTTCCTTGAAATGTTTTTCACCTCCTTAAATATATTGATTTTCTAAGCGCAGCTTAGATGTGGCACAAGACTGAAATTATGGGACACCCAGTTAGGATCGAACTCACTTCTTAGTCGTAACTGTTCTAGCGAGACAAGCTTGCTAACCATTACACCACACGCAGTTGCCTCATCCCCTTTAATATACAATGTGTGTAGTTATTCTCTATTGTAATGCGTTCTAAACCTTCTTTGTAGAGCAGCGGCATGTTTTAGCTCACCCAATCAAAGAACACCGTTTATTTTCTCTTCTACTGAAGCCATGAATCAGTAACAATTTTGAAAAGAATTCCAGTCATTATAAAGTCTTCAATGAAGAATAATAGGTAAACGGAATAACCAATTTTTAAAAAAAAAATCTAAAAAGAATAGATGCATGAAGCTTATAAAAAAGGGTTTTACAGTCTGAGAATGTTGAGATTGTTTTTTTCTTTCTTCATATCTATTATCTTTTTACCTTCGGAAGAATTTTTCAGCTTTGTTAAATTTTAGACGTTTATTTTCTTTATAGAGGAAGCCCGCACACCAGAAAGCAAAAAGTATTTCGAATGGAGAAAGCAAATGATATTGAGATTTTCTTGTTTTGCTTGGCCGGACATTTGGCCGACGGACATTTATCCGAACGTACATTTGCCCGACGGACATTTCACGGAAAAAGTACAAGTTAAAATGGTAACAAGCAATACTTTGAGTATTTTAAATAACAGTATTATAAGGTATAATAGGACTAATAATTACCACTGAATTTCAAGTGATAAAATTACTAAATCGAAATTTAAAGTTAAAAGTTTTCTTATTTCAATATTTGTTTATTGAAATTAGTATTTTTAAAAATATTTAAGTGTATCTGGGTAAAAAGTAGCACCTAATTATTTAAATTCGTATTTAACAGTAAGATAAAAGCTAGTTCATCCCTTTAAGCTAATGATCATTAAAAGCGAAATTGAAAGATATTTCATATCGTAAAAGCTTAACATTTTTGCTGCAGTAAAATGTACTTTTTCTCAAAATACTTGTCATGTTACAGTAATATTTGAAGTAAAATATAATATATACAGAATAGATTTAAAAAAAAACTATCAAAAAGAACGAAAAATAATAAATTAATACAGTAAATAAATATAAATATATGTAGCACATTACGATAAAGAGTGTGACGTAAAAGTACGTACGTCATTACATTTTCGACTAAGTCCGTCGGCCAAATGTCCGTTGGCCAAATATCGGAGTACCCTTTTACTGTGTAGATACACGTTTCAGCTGTGCTTAAAAACAGTCAGTTGTGAAATAAATAAGGTATATCTAAAATTGAATTCCAATGACACTTTATTGAAAATCAGTTTTAATCCAGTCGCTTCTTCTTTTTTGATATGATTTTCCATTTATATAACGAATCTTTTATATATTTATCCTTAGACAGAAATAAATATCAAACTTCGTTTACAGACATCGTCACAAGTATGGCACCTACCCTGAATCCATCATCAAAATCCAAGATGTGAAATTAGTAAATACTAATCAATTCAGATACCTGGGTGTATGGATAAGTTATAACACATTTAGTATAGGAGACGAGGAAATTTAACATAGAATAGATTGTGTTAAGGTTAGTTTCACCCGACACAGAAAACTGCTACAAAACGATTGACATAAAAAAGGTGTTGACCGTAGTCGCAATCATGGGGTTAATGTAAAAGATCTTTTCCTTAGTTGCATAATATGTGCTTCGCCAGGGCTACATACAGTTTTGACTTCAGAGTTTTTCTTCTCCTAGACCGATTGCCATCCAAGGCTATAGAACCCAGTCTGTTAAGGAGTCGACCGTAGTCGGGGCCATCGAGTCAATGTGAACGATCTTTTACTTTAGCTGCATAATATGTGCTTCGCCAGGGCTACATACAGTATTGAATCCAGAGTTTTCCTTCTCCTAGGCAGGTTGCCATTTTAGAAGCCAGTCTGTCCGAATATTTACCCATAGCTGGAGGAGGGAATGCTGGAATCTCAATAGTATTAGCATCTAAGTAAACTTAAGGGGTTCGTCTGGAATTCGAACTCAGCTCTCTGATTCTTCAATCCGAGCCGCCATCAGTTTACTCTGCCTCGAGATTTGTTCCTAAATAACCATATCAAATCGAGACATATGAATGTCATCCGTGGCGCCAAAACCCATTCAGAAATATCTAAATTTGAAACGGTATACAACCTCTTTCTCAGATCGATGGTTAAAGTGTCTTTGATTGAATGAATCCTTAGCGCGTACCATTCTTGTTCGAACCTTGTAAACTGGCGCTACCTAATCACTCACAAATAACTGTACCAAATATCAGAAGTCACATCACTTGAGGACTTTGAATAGCAGTTAACAACTAAAATAAAACCCGAAGAGAGAATCATGACATGATCTACATGGTGACATTCCACACGACTTCAAAGAAAAGGTTAAGAAGGAAACCTCGTCAATACTGAAAACAGTAATAACAGTCACGATGTTCCTGAAAAATTGTTTTAAGAGAAAGATTAACTGAAGTTAGCACAGTCCAAATGAATTCTGAATGTTTCCTAATAAGTAAACATTTAATATTACCTATACTATATTTCGCTTTCTCGTATACAGTAGCCTAAGAAAACATCTAATTTCAAAATTTAATTACCTAATCCCTATTCAACATAAATAAACAGTATTTGGAACTAGTATAGAGTAGGTCCTCCATTTGCTAGTTTCAGTGCTTGTATTCGATTTTTCATGGATTTGATCAAGTTATCGTCTGATCCATATTTTGTCACGCCTTTAATAATGTTTCTTTAAGGGTTTCCACTGACGTGATTTTGGTTACACGCTCTCGAAGTCTTCCGTCAAGGTGCTCCCAAACGTGCTCTATTGGATTCCTGTGAAGATCTTTGGCTACACACAGCAGTGGCTTGATTCCTTGCGATTCCTTTCAGGCCTTTGTTACTTTGCTCGTATGACATGGTGATCCATCTTCTTGAAAAAGGTAGACATTCTTGTCAATCTGATTGGTTTCAAATAGTGGGAATAGTCTTTTCTCTAATATTTAACAGTATTTTGGACCATTCAACCGCTTGTCAGATTTCCCTCCAAATCAGACAGCGCCCCACACCATTACTCCAATCTTTCCATGTTTCACGGTCGCCTGTAGACATTCAATGTTCCAAGTCTCATTCTGATTTTTCCAAACATAAACCTG